AAAATCTTCAGACTATGAATTAATTACTTGGTTTTGCTGGAAACAGTAAACAGAAGGAGACCAAAAACAATGACAGCAGCAAAGGTGGAAAAAAAATGTCATTGTTTCCTTGTCATTTGAAATCTAAGGAATGCTTTATGAATATCAGATTTATTTATTTTTTTAACCATTTTAAATTTATGTCTATTTAACAGGTGGTTTTCAAGAGGTCCTGAATATGCTGTTAGCTTGTTATGCAAAGGAATGTATGGATTTGAATATTTATTGAAGGAAATAGCCATGAATTATAGAACAAAGGTGATTGTGTTTTTTGTCTTTCTTTAAGCCTTTAACCCCTAAAAGTGACTGGCATCTAATTTCTCCTTACAATATCACCACTGAATCAAACATTAAGGTCATGAGAATAAGGGAAATGATCACCAACTAAGGAACCTCTTGATTGTTAGACAAGTTCTCCTTGTCAGTACCCTAGGAGATATATAGAGAACAGTATGGAGAATATGCATACTGATGTTAGGGTGTTGCTGTGGGAAAAAAGTATGAGGCCTTGAGCAACACGAGTCAGTAAGAGGTCTGCAAGGGGCCTGGCACTGCCAATGACTCATCATTAGTGCCCGACCCTTGGTAACCTCTCCCTGACTTGTCTTAAACCTCCCTGGAGGTAAAGAAACGTACATTCTGCAGCACTATTAACGAGGGGCTGCTTGCTGATTATCTTTCATTTTGAGAATTTTTCCATGATACAACAAATATGGAGCATTATGTATTTAGGCTCTCTTGGCCTTGGTCTGGTTAGACTCTGAATTAACTTGTGTGTCTTAAATCCCTTTGCGTTGCAATAAGATCCATGTCAGTGCTGAACGGCTGGCCATGTACAGATATCTTCCAGACATGACTCCTTATTTCACAACTGATGGTCAATCTACTAAGATACATGCATGCAAGTGGCAGGTATGGACAGAAGAAGTTCAAGATTGGTACTCTCCCAGATTCTCAGTAAAAAACGGTGATACCGTGCTGAGTCAGCCACTATAGGAAAAAAGAGTTCTTAGATGTCTCTCAGACTCTACTTTCTATTACCCTTGTCAAATTTCACCCCTCATCCCTTCATTAAAACTGCCTTTCCCCTCCCCCCCTTAAATTACTCTGGATTTTTCTATCTTCAAAATTAATTTTTTCTGTGGAAGTCGTTGAATATGGGAAGGGAAACAATCTCAATATTGAACTCAAATTTGAAGTAACTTCTGTTATTGACACAAAGTCAGCCATTAAACATAACTGCTTTTGTCACCAATCCCTAGTAGAATTTTGCAAACCTGGTTACCCACAGTGGCTGAAGCATATTGGTTTTTTCTGGCATGAAGTTCACAGGAAGGGGAGGAAGGACTTGTTTAGTCTCATTAACAGCCATAGTTGACTTGTCTTGGGTACGGTGTTCAGCACCAGATGCATTAGTGTATCCCATGCATCATTCCAAGCAGGAAAAGGTGTTCTCTGCAATAAAAGTTTTTTAGCTGGTTCAAGTTACAGAGATTTTCAGAGCTGCTGTTTCGAGCGTTAGCCCTTTATCATTCGCTCCAACGAAAGGCTAACGCTCTTTACGGAGGCCAATTTACGTTATCAACTCAGTTGATAATACTAATTAAATTACTCTGTCATACTCTCCCACCAAAGCAGCACCACAGTTTTTCTACAAACTTACCCTTACCCCATTTATTCAAACTACAGAGACTAAACCCAGAATAAATGGGACACAGTAGTAGGCCCGTATTCAGATCACCCTTCCTCCACACCTCCCTCCCCCTCCTTCAAATGCTGTTATCCGTCTCCATGTGAAATTCCTCAGGCCAACCAAAGGTGTGACTCAGACCTCCCTTGTGGTTCTTCAGTTCATCCCTCTCTCAAGACAAAGGTTCTGCGTATAAAGCCAACAACCATGTGGGTAGCACGAAGTACAGAACCAATGCCGGAGGATTTCAAAAGGTGAGAACAAATACCAAAGCTTATTTTACATCCTCATTGATCTGATCACCCTGTAGTTTTCACCACATTTTCAAGAGAGTTGCATTGGCAAGTTCCCATTAAATTTCCCTCTTTTCATTGAGAACCCTTCGAAGTAATTTCCCACACGAAAAAATAGCCCAATATAAAACGCCGCAAAAATTTAAGTCAAATAAAAAAATCTCCATAGACGCATAGGTCCCTTTGCATTCTTTCTACTCGTGCTCTGGAAATATGGCCATCCGTCTACTCTATGACCCCTTAGTATAACTCGATAAGGAATAAAACTTGACAAGATTATCTTCCCTTCCTCGCTAATGTAGTGCTGTTTGAAGAGAAAATCTCAAAAGAAGATTTTTTTTCCAGGCGTAAATTTCAGTCATCTTGAAATGCAAAACAAAAACAAACACACACAAAAAAAGAAAAATTGCTTTCTGTCCCTAAGTTTTTGCGGGTCTGTGATGCTTACGTTGCCGTTGTACGCGTCACAAAAACTCAGCTCTTTTCAGTCAAAATAAAAGGTATTAGTGAAAATGAAGTACTTCTGGTGCTATCCGCACCATGCGTGTATTTCAACCAAAGATTTTTCCATCCACAGGTATGACAAGGGGAAAAGGCTCTGGAGAGTTGTTCATTCAATGCACGCATCAATGGAAGAGGTACTGCAACCTTCAGTTGCTAATAGTTGAACTTCCTCTGAAGGGG